TTGGCTCTACCCGCATTACTTTCGCGCGAGCAACTGAGATTTCATTTTAGTTTCCTATTAATCTTTTCGTCGTCATCCGAACTGCTGGTTGCACATTTTATCTAGTCACTATGCTCTGCTCGGCTCGGCTCTTAGTCATCAATCGGGTGCTCTGTTTGGATGCCAATATTCTCAGCATGCGTCTAGACGAAATACTTGCCTGTCACCTTTTTATTCTGGCATACCCATATTTTATTTGCTAACAAATTTGAAGATTTGGAAGTCGACCTCTTTTTCTGCATACCTTCATATATATTAATCAGTAATAGTTATTTGGCATATTTGCCGATACAAGATTGGCTATTCGTGTATTCTGAGTCGGCACTATACTCTATTTTAATTTACAAATCGCATAACCTTTGAATCCGAGTTAATTCAGATACTAACTTTAAAGCTTTTTTCAATTGATGAATATTCAAGCCTTAGTCGACTGTTTGCACAATCTAAATCTTTAATGAGCTTCTTATTCATTCTTATTTGATGCACATAGTCGAGTTTATGGGCTGTATTGCTGTTCTTTTGCATTTTTTTTACATATTTTAAATCGTTTATGCTTTACTTTTAATAAACTTTCAGGTCCCAATCAGCTCGTTCACATAATCCTTCTCCCATGCCAACCAGTGTAGATCAGAGCCTATTCATCCAGGGTCTTGTCCAAAAGTACCTGGGTCTAACTGCTCTGTCACCACCTGCATTAGAAACCGAATCCGCTTCTCGTTTCGGTTCAGCTAATCGGCACCTCGGTCTTGCCAGAGAGCCACCTCGTTGTCGAGGCTCGCAGGAGACCAGCTCAAGTTCCGACGTTACCCGTTACGGTGCCTTAAATCCGAATAATTTGAGCCTTGCCACATGTCGATATTTGGAAAAATATCGCCTCCTAGACGAAGCAGATACTGGTCCCTCGATTTCCAAAAACCCTGCACCTCGTCGGCCCCGGCATAAAATATTGGGGTCTGTATCTCAACAAAGATCTTGCAAAAACAGCACTCCGGCCTGCGGGCCAAGCCATACGTCTTCGAGTGAGACTGAGTGTATGCCAGAGGCCGGGTGGAAGCTGCGTCCAGGTGCTGCAAGCCTCACTGGTCCTTCACCCTCATTCTTCATTGGTTCTCCAGACTCCTCCTCTGCACCATCATCAACAGCTTCTCTCAACTCGACTTCATCTTCGCTCTCTTCTCGCTTATTCTTCGTTCCTTCATCAAAAGCATCAACCATCAGAGGTCCTGGACTCCGCGAGGAGACGGATTCTACTCTCTACGGAGAGCTGGATGAACTATCCGGCCTCGAGGGCAGTCTACCTTCCTCATCCCAGCCCGCCTGGCCAGCCGTCGGCTTGGCCTCGGAGCTAGGTTCCCCGGTGCTAAATGGTCTCTGCTTGGAGGCACCGCCTTTTCCTTGTCTGGAAGAGACCCTGCTAGGACAGACCAACCATGAGAACGTCGTTATTGGCGAAGAAAATGCTGACGGCGTCCGTGCCGCTTCAAAGGTCATTACTACTACACACAGTGAACCCGTAATTGAGTACCGACTTCGGAATTCTAATAATGAATATGCAGTATCCGCCTCTCAAGAGGACAGCACACGACCTATTCTCGACCTCGCTCTCCTCCGCCAGTTGCCAAAGCTCCTGTGAACTTTTGTCATTTTTTGTTGAACTTTGATTTTTGTTTCGTTCTCATAATTTTCCACCAGTTTTCTCTCGCAGAGCTCAACTTGTCTTAGAACATTCTACGGAAATTTAGAATGACTTATTGCAGGTTGAGCGCCCCGCTATGATTCGTTGTTAAAATGCAATCAGAGGAATTGGCCAGAATGGAATTGTTGCGGATTTCTCCCGTCGCATTTTTCACGAAGCTCTTTCGCCTCGGTGATGTAAAGCTAATATCAGAATCCTGTTTTAGTGCCCGCTAATTGTGCTAATGAGAACTCAGGAAAACGATTCTTTCCACTCTTTCTAGCCCTCCCAAATAGTTGCCGAATCACAGATTTCTTTATATAGCTGTCGAATGTTTTTCTGTAGACTCTGTTACTTGTCTCAGCTAGTTAAGATCGTATCTCGAAACCTTGGTCACTCTATAGTGGCCTTCTGCTCGGCCTCTTCATCTGTCTTTCACTAGTAATCCACAATTTGCCTCATGCAACATGCTTCCTTGTTTAGTTTTCACAATTCAGGTCTCTGCAACCCTATCCATATACAAGCCTACATCCGAGCCTTCTTGGTCACGTCAGCTCCATTAGCTGTGACTTTCACGCCGATAAGATGTTTCCAGCCTCGACTTGCGCGCATTAATTGAACGGTCTTTTGGTGTTCATTGCACAAAGTTATTCAAAATTATCTTTTTGATACCGAAGTTGTTTTACTTTTTTCAAACAACATTATCGTTTATGATTTCGATCCGCTTCTCCTAGACCTGTGTTATTTGTTGGCTGGTTTCCCAGAACCCAAGTAAACTTTTTTTAAAAATCTACCCTTCTTATTATTTGGCAATACCATTTAGACAGGCTATGCCGCCTTTATATTTGATGAAACTTTCAAGGCACCATTTTTGCGCTTATAACTCGATTTAATGGGCGATTGTTATCCCTAAGGGAATAGTCGATCACCGGAGCCGGCCATGGTAAGAGAATAACAAGGACGCCACAAACCAATGACCTTTCAACCGCCCATAATCTATATCCTAGCTGGTGTTTTAAAATGTTCCCACCACCATTTCGGATATTTTTATCACTTCCAACCTGGCCCTATTTCGAGTGCTACATTTTTTGGGTAAGATGCATCAGTACATACTTGACATTCGACTGATCAGCTCTAGGGAATAGCTTTTCTTTCACATTTTCATTAGTTATAACTGACGATGCCGACGAAACGTCCGGGGGTGTACCAAGTCACTGGTCCAACGCTGGAAATCATCATGAGTACTATGAAAGTAAACTCAGGACTAGATACGTTCCACTGGGTCTTCTTTTCGTACCGACTAAATTGCGAAAACGAGGGCAAACCAACCCGGTGCCTGCTCCTGACGATTAGTTTCAGCAATTTATATGTCCAATGTGCTACAATTAAGTCCTAAATAATGACCCTATCCTTGTTTAGTTTTGAAAGTCTTATCTACAAATCTGCCTAAGAGGCATTCCATGCAAATCAATACCGACCTGCTAGACCCAGCGTATGCTGGGTGGGGTTTCATCTTTCACCGAATTGGACAATTACTAAATTCGCCCAAAACTGCATATGCACTCAGCTCGCTCAATGGAGACCGTTTCTCTTATAGCCATTATAATCCCGCACCAAATGCGCCTTATTTGCCTATCGGTTTTAGTACGAAATCGTGTCAAGAAGCATACTTCGCTTTTGAAGTCAAACTTATCGAGTCATTTGCCCTGATAGACAACGTATGATTCTTGCGTCCAAATTTGAGCCGATAAGCTAATAGGGTGGGGTCGAGACGATAGTCTATATCATATGAAAAATGCGAATTTCAATGGAAAAACATAACCTCGTTCTGTTGTGCACAGAATTATCACCACTTCCAATAACATCACATACGAATGGTACATGCGGAAAATGGCGTAATGCCATCGGGCTCACGACTTCATTTTGTGAAGATAATAATTCATACTACTTAATTCAGTAACATAATTACGACTAATAAAGACGCATAAAAATATATCGTTTTCGCAACTCAGTCGGTACGACACGATAATTAATAGAACAGAGAGTGGCAGCAAAATATTTAATAAATAAAATAGATTCCAAAATATAAACTCATAAAAAATTGTAATGAGCTTTCTGAATGGGATAAGTTGGCTAATTTGGTCGGAATAAATAAATAAAATGTAGAAAATAAGCTAGTTCCTATTGATCACATGCAGATACCAATTAAAACCGTAAATTTATCGAATATAAGTAAAATGGTGCGCTCGAAGGAAGCTGAGGAATGGATGGGGGATATAGTGGGATTTTGTGACTATGCTGGGCTGGATCCAGTCGGCTTGCGAAAAGTATAACTAATATTCGCAAGCCGCTGGTGAGCGGCCGCAGTAAGGCTATTGCAAGGGATTCGCTCAGCCATATTAAAACTTGGAGGGTGTTGATATCAGTGGGATATATGTACGTGGTATAAAGAAGGGTCCAGTAGTATAAGAGCAACAACTATTCTATACAATTTGTAATGAAAAATCAAATACATGTTTCCGAAATAAGCATTGTTTCTTAGAATTCCCGAATGTGCCAATTCGCTTGGCCATTTAATGTAGTCTTGAATTCAATTCAACTATGACGGAGAGGGTTGGATATAGGACGATACTCCTATGGATATACAGGTAGGTCATATTTGTGAAAGCATGAATAAGGCGGTTTGCCGGCAAATTGGAATATGGCGATTGTGACTAAATCAGAACTGAGAAGCTAAATAAGAACTCAAAGGGGCTCCTATAATAGGTAGCGGCAAAAAGCGCAGAGAGTTAATGGCTTCCAAACACCAACATAGTGTTTGATATGGTAAAGACATTGCACACGTTTCAAAGCCACAAAGTAGCAGAGGAATCAAGTTAATGAGGAATAGAGACGAATTTCTGAAAGGCAAAAATAATGTTTGGGGGATTGGGTAGAAACGAATACATTGAAGAATGCGTGTAGATTCAATCTAGTCAGGAAGAAAGTCATAATTCGGAGGGTCTCGAGGCGGTTCTTCTGGATGCGAAGGAAGACTAGCTAGATTCAACCCCAAAAGCCGGATACGAAGCTCCAAGTCAACTAGTCGCTTCAAATCCTCTTCGTATTTGTCCGTTAGCGGCTAGACGATAGAAAAAATAACACTTATTAAATGCGAATAGCAGTGACATTTTCAAAATGGACAAAATTGCAATGGCACCATCTCTTTAAGAAATGGGAAGTGCAATAATTGAGAAAACGTTTTCAGAACGCAAAAATCCCAAAAGAAGAGTATGGACAAAGTAAAGATAATTTCTGCTATCGAGGCACATTAAACCAGTTAGTGCAAAATATAGGCTAAGGTTCATAAAGTACCAGCTATAATCGATAGACTGGATAAAGGCATAATTGATATAATGGAAATCATGGTATCCAACATAAATTAACGGCAACATACTAAATTCAGTAGAAAGTAGAACTAGAAATATTATAGAAAAAGAAATTGGAATTGAGAGAATGCATGGCGACCTACGATGTTAAGATTGCCCCCCCTAGAGATGAGGATGCTGAAGCCATCCAGCCAGTACTTGCACTCGACCTCGGCACGCGCCACCAACACCAGACGCTTTACTGGTTTCGATGACACAGCGGCAGGATGACTAATTTGTGACAAGTCCTCCTGATCAGTGGCCTGCTCAGTCAGATAAAGTACCAAGCTCTAAAACGTATAATAATAAATACAACCATGATCACAGAAAGAAAAGGAGCGCTAGCATGTCGTAATTAAGAGTATTTTATCCATCAGCCCTGCTAGCTGTGATTGAATTGGAATGATGAGGCAACAAGAACAAGTGTAGATGGTGGGAGAGAGGAAGAATGTTGAAATATAAATAATATTTGATAGGAAGTTAAGCATAAATATCAAGCACTATATGAGATGTATTCACCCTATCTCATTACAGGCAATAAAAAACTGTCATTGTAGATACGAAGATAAATTTGGTTTCGATGAATCTCCTGAGACAACATTGTTAGGGGGACCTTCCTCCATCCATCCATCGTCCATCATATGATGGACATCATCAGCACGTTTTCACCCGAAACGAGGAAGCAAGTCAACATGAATATCGTATAAAAGCCAAACGGCTGCAGTACGAAGAGATTCATCTGTCCTCATCTGGTGAGATCGACCAACGAATCTCTTCTTCATGCACTTTCATCCGAAATGAAGGTCCCTCTAACAAAAGACTGTCAATTGGAAACGTAAGGCCTACGCATATCATTGTGGGAAATTTAATATCAATCCTTCATCACCTTAAACAAAATAGGGTGAACACGTCTCACGCATATGATCTAATGGTAGTCACGAGAACCTATTTATAAATGAAACATATTAAGCACCAATAAATAGTCGTAGTGAAGAAGAAAATTAGTCGGCACTGTTAACCCATACTCTAATAGATAGTAATGCTTTTTTAAATGTTATTAAGAGATTTGGAGGAAATGTGTCATTTACAGTGTATTTAACATTGAACTGACTTCGGATATACTTTTAGCAAAGAATGGATATGGAATGTGTGAAGAACAATTAATAAAATTCACATTGACTAGGATAAATAGTAAAATAATTGGTCTCAGGAAGCGTGTAGATAAACTGTTCTCATTGCCCGTTTCTTAATTTGTACCTATTTGTACACAGTTAGGATCACGCCAATATACCAACTGCCCATCTATACTTTTTTCTGTGTAAACCAGGATTGGTAATAATACTCCCTATTTTGTCTTCGTATTTAAGTATTGTTTCGAAACTACCAGTAAATCAGTACTATGAGATGTATTCACCCAATTTCGTTACGTATGAAAGTAGGGTTTCGAGACTACCAGTAAATCAGTGTAATGAGATGTATTCACCCTATTTCGTGTAAGATGAAGGACTGGTAGTAGAATTTTCCCACAATGATATGAGTTGAGCTGACGTTTCCATTGAATTTTACATAATGAGATGTATTCACCACATTTCGTGTAAGGTGATGAAGGACTGGTAGTAGAATTTTCCCACAATGATATGAGTTGAGCTGACGTTTCTTTCGTGTAAGGTGATGAAGGACTGGTAGTAGAATTTTCCCACAATGATATGAGTTTAGCTGACTTTTTTCGTGTAAGGTGATGAAGGACTGGTAGTAGAATTTTCCCACAATGATATGAGTTGAGCTGACGTTTTCCTCAACTCATATCATTGTTGG